CACACTCTCTCTCTCTCTGTAAACTGAAGTAAAAATGGATCACGACCACCTAGCCTCAGATAAAAAAACATAAGACAAACACGAAACACAACACACGATACCCAGCATTAGCGAAGACGAAGAAATACGAAAACACACCACATGAAGTCACTTAAAAATTAACTCGCTAAACAGACTTCATCTCTTCTCCCGCCAGGACACGGATCTCCGAGAGGGCGTATTGAAGGCCGAGGTGCATCCGCGGCCCTTAGGAGGAGGTGCAGGAGGAGGACCTGAGGGACCGGGGATGCGGGAGCGGTGCGTCTCCGACTCGGCCCTTCGTCGCGAGCCCTCCGTCAGCACGCCGATGACCGTCAAAGGCAACACCGCCCCGAGGATCCACGAAGGGCACCAAGGAAGCCCATACCACCTTCAGGACCTCGAGAGGGACCACCACCACCACCAGGAAGGGATCAGCAGAACGACCACCACGACGCCCCCGAAGAAGGTGCCCCTCGTCGACGACAATCAGAACGTCCTCCCCTCAGAGCCGCCGAAAGGGGACCTCCCCGACTTCAGCGAAACGTACGTCATCTCGAAGTGCATTGGCCACGACTTCGACTGCGATAGTGTGTTCGAACTGTGAATCAAGTGTTGAATCACGGTTATTTAAGGCCTATTTTTTTAAGCTTGCGATTAAGTATATCGGTTTGAATTGCTTTTAATTTGTATGAAGTTTTAATTTAATCTAGTCTATTTTGATATATGTCAATAAATGAGATCTAATAACAGAACAATTGGTATTGTAGTTTTTACCCAGAAGCTTTTGTAAGTTTCACGTCGTTTATTGTACAAACTGCCCAAAATATTTGATACACAGAGAGAAAAAAATACGTGATTTGCGTCCTGTAATAGACATTTTGTGCACAATATACTTTCTCGTGTGAAGATAAATAGAGCGGTTCTAAAGTACGTAATTTTATATCCGTTAATAATGGATTCTTAAAAACAGGTTAGTCCAGTTTCTTCTTAATTAAATGCTGATTTAAACATTTTGAATACATTGGGTTCTATACAATAAGGTTACATCTGATATAATATTTGCTCTAAGTAATGATAATCACAGTCATTTCTCGTATTAGGATTTATTAAGAACATCATAGTTTTAACATTACCATTATATTGCACCATATACAGTAATATAAATAATTTTCGTAAAATAGATTTGATGATCTGTGACAATTTTGTTCCTCTTGATGACTGTGATAATCCAAGCTGCTTTACTGCAAGACAGACGCTGAAAAAATAAATGGATACATAAATATGAAACAATTTAATTAATTACTATTATTTTTTTCTAAATTGATCATAACCTTGTGACTTAGTTCTTAACGAGATTACAATGGCTTATTAAGAATATTAAACATATAAAAGTGTTGCATTGCGAAAAATATTACATTCAATTGATCACTTGTTTTTAGATTAAATGATTTTAACAAAAATACTACAAATGCATTATTTAAGCAGATCGATCAACAGTCTTGACTTACAGCATTCTCCATCTCCCGCCTTGACTAACAACGCATCCTTGCACACTGCAATGTCAAACTGGCACTGGTTCCCGTACGTGACACCGTCGCTCCCGCACACCGGCTCGTAGTCCGTTGTGCAAAGCGTCAGTTCACAGTTATCCGAGTCTTTAGGGATTGGGAAGAAAGGATAAGGTAATTTTTTTTTTCGCATAAAGAAAATTACATTTACAGGTGATTAAGAGCGTAATGAAAATTGAATAATGGCGTGAATAAAGACTTCGATTAACAGATCAGAAACCCAAAAAAAATCTCACGGGAACAAAAAAAATATATATATATTTCGAAAAGTAAATGGATTTGTTCACGTTTCTTGTTCCAAAGACACTTACCCCCCCCCCCCCCAAAAAAAAAAAATGAAATATGCTTTTAAAAAATACCAAAATTATATAAAATACACCCAAAAAAGAAGTATACGTTTATATATCAAGAAAGAGCGCACACAAAAAAAAGAAGAAAAAAATAACCCACCACACACTCCAATCTTCAGCACACTCAACGAAGAATCCCGACACCGGCCGTTGTTAAAGAGGCAGTCGTTATGGTACGTAACTCCGTCACTCCCGCACACTGGCTTGTACTCCCTCGTGCACCCGACTTCTGGACACTCCGGGACTGCACGCGCGTGTGGAAGAAAAAAAATGGAAACAGGTTATGGTAAATGGGGGAAAAAAATATGTAAATTTGTTAACTTTTTTGTGTTTGGCGATGAGGAGATAAAGGGGTCGTAATAATAATGAAAATAATAATGGAAATAATAAATAGTATCAAATAACAGCAATAACAAGAAGTAGTAGCAAGAACAGTTATATATTATGATCCAAACATCCAACTCGTAACTAAAATACTTCCTCTCGATTATCAACACCAGGAAATCATAAAAAATGACAAATACCAAAACCCAGACCACACAAAAAAGAATCCCAAACCCCTTTCGTTTTATTTTTTTTTTTTTTCTTACAAACGAAAACAAAAAAAAACAACCGACTCACCGCACTGACAATTAGCCACCTTATAGAGTTCGGGCTTCGTACAGATCATGACTTCCAGAGCACAGTCGTTCTGGTACGTTTGGCCGTCACTGCCGCACACGGGGTCGTACGTTCGCTGGCAGGTCGTCGCGCACTCGGGCTGGTTGTCTGCAGGATGGAGGAGTGGTGTTAGGTGGTGGTGGTGGTAGGGGGGAGGGGGAGAGGGGAGGGATGGAAGGAGAGAGGGAGAGGGAGGGATGGAAGGAGAGAGGGAGAGGGAGGGATGAAAGGGGAGAGGAAGAAAGGATGGAGAGAGAGAGAGTGCGTGCGTCACCATAACCAAACACTCACCACAACGCCCGTGCCGGACTTTCGTAATCGTCGGATTGTTGCAAGCTGCAATGTTGAATGTGCATTGGTTCGGGTACGTAATGCCGTTGCTGCCACACACAGGGTCAAACTCCGCCGTACACTGTATGTTGCATTTCGAGTCCATGACTGAAATGAAATAAACAAATTAAGTTAAGGGAAAAAGTGGGAAGAAGTGTTGAGGAAGTGTGTGTGGGGGGGGAAGTGTTGGGGAAGGTGAGGGGGGAGGGGGGTGGGGGGAAGTGTTTGGTTAGTGTTGGGGAGAAATGTGTAGGGGAAAGGTGTAGGAAAAAAACGTGTGGGGAAAAATATGTTTTTGCTTTGCAAGAAAAGATAAAAATCAAACAGTAATTGAATTGTACTAAAACGAAAAAAAACGGAACATAAAAGCACTTACCAAACGAAAAAAACGGAACATAAAGCACTTATCAAACGAAAAAAAAAATCCAACGTATATCTAAAAAAAACAAAAAACATCCAGCACTTACAAAACTCAAAATCACAAAATCCAACTCACAAAACGAAAAAAAAAATAAATAAACGAAACATAAACCACGAACTACGAACTTAAAACTTAAAACACGAACATAGACCAGACCACACAACAAAAACAACACACTCACGACAAGCGCACATCGCCAGTTTCCTGATGGACGGGTCCCTGCACGCAGCCTCCTCCAGCTCGCACTCGCTCCTGTACGTTATCCCGTCGCTCCCGCACACGGGCTGCAGGGTGAAGCCGCACTCCCGGCTGCAGGCGTCGCTCGTGGCTGGTGGGGAAGAGGAGGGGAGGGGGTGTGAGTGGGTGAGAGTGGATGGGAGTGGATGGGAGTGGGTGAGAGTGGGTGAGAGTGGGTGTGAATGGGTGTGAATGGGTGAGAGTGGGTGTGAATGGGTGAGAGTGGGTGGGAGTAAAAGAGGAGGGGAGTGGGTGAGAGTAGGTGGGAGTGGGTGAGAGTAGGTGGGAGTGGGTGGGAGTGGGTGGGAGTGGAAGAGGAGGAAGGAGGGAGGAGGGGAGGAGGAGAGGAAGGGAGGAGGGAGGAAGGAGGAGGGAGGAGGGAGGAGAAAAGGAGGGGAGGAGGGAAGGAGGGAAGGAGGGAAGGAGGGAAGGAGGGAGGAGGGGGAGGGGTGTGAATGGGTGGGTGGGGAATGGGTGGGTGGGGAGTGAGTGAGTGGGGAGAGGGTGTGAGTGGGTGGGGTGATGGAAGAGGGGAGGGGGAATGTGAGTGAAGAGAGAGAGAGAGAAAGAAAAAGAGTGAGCCTAGCCACTTGGTCCTTAGAGAAAGACTGTGGGGGAGGAGTCACAGAGGTCAAGTAATACAATGTTTCCCCGTTTTCCGTCCAAAGAAAACGGAGACAGCTCTGTACACTTAAACGAGGTGCCTCTTACCGTCTCGTCTGCCCACGCTTAATCTTCCTGCATGCAACAGCACTCAGTTTGTATACGCACTTCCTCGGTATGTGAAACAGTGAGACGGAGGGAGGGAGAAGGAGAGAGGGAGAAGGAGAGAGGGAGAAGGAGAGAGGGAGAGAGGGAGAGAGGGAGAGAGGGAGAGAGGGAGAGAGGGAGAGAGGGAGAGAGGGAGAGGGGGAGAGAGGGAGAGGGGGAGAGAGGGAGAGGGGGAGAGAGGGAGAGAGGGAGAGGGGGAGAGAGGGAGAGGGGGAGAGAGGGAGAGGGGGAGAGGGGGAGAGAGAGGGAGAGGGAGGGAGAGACGGTGGGAGGGAGAGACGGTGGGAGGGAGGGGAGAGACGGTGGGAGGGAGAGACGGTGGGAGGGAGAGAGGGGGAGAGGGAGAGGGAGAGGGAGAGGGAGAGGGAGAGGGAGGGAGAGAGAGAGAGGGAGAGGGAGAGGGAGAGAGAGGGAGAGGGAGAGGGAGAGGGAGAGAGAGAGAGAGGGGGGGGAGAAAATGAGAGAGGGAGAGAAAATGAGAGAGAAAGAGAAAATGTGAGAGAGAGAGAGAGAAAAGGATAGAGAGATAGAACACCCAAGCAAGGGAGAAAAAAGGCATAAAGAAACAGAAACACACTTCTTTTTTACTTGACACGTTTATTAAGACCATTTTACATCTCAAAAGGCTAAGGTAACTTTATAAGGTTATCCTCACACTCATCTTAACTAGCCCTTGCGTGGCCTCACAGCTGAAACACAAGGGAGAGAGAGAGAGAGAGAGAGAGAGAGAGAGAGAGAGAGAGAGAGAGAGAGAGAGAGAGAGAGAGGAGAGAGAGAGAGAGAGAGAGAGAGAGTGTGTGAAGGAGAGGAAGGGGGAGGGAGGGAGGGAGAGGAAGGGAGGGAAGGTGAGGAAGGAAAGGAGGGAGGGAGAGGAAGGGAGGAGGGAGAGGATGGGGGGGGAGGGAGGGAGAGGAGGGGAGGAGAGGAAAGGAGAGGAAGGGAGGGATAGGGAGGGATAGGAAGGAAGGGAGGGAATGAGAGGGAGAGGAACTCTCACTCATCTTAACTAGCCCTTGCGTGGCCTCACAGCTGATATACAAGAGAGAGAGAGAAAAAGAGAGAGTGTGAAGGAGAGGATGGGGGGGGAGGGAGGGAGAGGAAGGGAGAGAGGGAGGGAGAGGAAGAGAGGAGGGAGAGGATGGGGGGGGAGGGAGGGAGAGGAGGGGAGGAGAGGAAAGGAGGAAGAGGGAGAGAAGGGGAGGGAGGGAGGGAGGGAGGGAGGGAGGGAGGGAGGGAGGGAGGAAGGAAGGGAGGGAGGGAGAAAGGGAGGGAGGGAATGAGAGGGAGGGAGAGGGATAGAAGGGGAGGGAGGGAGGAAAGGAGGGAGAGGAAGGGAAGGAGAGGGAGGGAGACGGAGAGAGGGGAAGAGGGAGAGAAAGGAAGGGAGGGAGGGAGAGAAAGGAAGGGAGGGAGGGAGAGAAAGGAAGGGAGGGAGGGAGAGAAAGGGAGGGAGGGAGGGAGAGAAAGGGAGGGAGGGAGGGAGAAAAAGGGAGGGAGGGAGGGAGGGAGGAAGGGAGAGAAAGAGGAACTCACACTCATCTTAACTCGTCCCTGCGTGGCCTCACAGCTGATATACAAGAGAGAGAGAAAGAGAGAGTGTGAAGGAGAGGAAGGGGGGAGGGAGGGAGGGAGAGGAAGGGAGGAGGGAGGGAGAGGAAGAGAGGAGGGAGAGGATGGGGGGGGAGGGAGGGAGAGGAGGGGAGGAGAGGAAAGGAGGAAGGGAGGGAGGGAGGGAGAGGAAGGGAGGGAGAGGAAGAGGAAGGGAGGGAGAGGAAGGGAGGGAGAGAGGGAGAAAAGGAGGGGAGGAGAGGAAAGGAGGAAGAGGGAGGGAAGGTGAGGAAGGAAAGGAGGGAGGGAGGGAGAAAGGGAGGGAGGGATTGAGAGGGAGGGAGAGGGAGAGAAGGGGAGGGAGGGAGAGGAAGGGAAGGAGAGGGAGGGAGACGGAGAGAGGGGGAAGAGGGAGAGAAAGGGAGAGGGGGAGGGAAAGAGGAACTCACACTCATCTTAACTAGCCCTTGCGTGGCCTCACAGCTGATATACAAGAGAGAGAAAAAGAGAGAGTGTGAAGGAGAGGAAGGGGGGAGGGAGGGAGGGAGAGGAAGGGAGAGAGGGAGGGAGGGAAGGAGAGGAAGGGAGGGAGAGAGGGAGAAGAGGAGGGGAGGAGAGGAAAGGAGGAAGAGGGAGGGAAGGTGAGGAAGGGAGGGATAGGGAGGGATAGGAAGGAAGGGAGGGAATGAGAGGGAGAGGAACTCACACTCATCTTAACTAGTCCCTGCGTGGCCTCACAGCTGATATACAAGAGAGAGAGAAAGAGTGTGTGTGAAGGAGAGGAAGGGGGGAAGGGAGTGAGAAAGGGAGAGAGGGAGAAAAGGAGGGAGAGGGAGGAAAGAGGGAGAGGGAGAGGAAGAGGGAGAGGAAGAGGGAGAGGAAGAGGGAGAGGAAGAGGGAGAGGAAGAGGGAGAGGAAGAGGGAGAGGAAGAGGGAGAGGAAGAGGGAGAGGAAGAGGGAGAGGAAGAGGGAGAGGAAGAGGAAGAGGGAGAGGAAGAGGGAGAGGAAGAGGAAGAGGAAGAGGGAGAGGAAGAGGGAGAGGAAGAGGGAGAGGAAGAGGGAGAGGAAGAGGGAGAGGAAGAGGAAGAGGGAGAGGGGGAAGAGGAAGAGGAAGAGGAAGAGGAAGAGGAAGAGGAAGAGGAAGAGGAAGAGGAAGAGGAAGAGGAAGAGGAAGAGGGAGAGGAAGAGGGAGAGGAAGAGGAAGAGGGAGAGAGAGGGAGAGGAAGAGGGAGAGTGAGGGAGAGGGAGAGGAAGAGGGAGAGAGAGGAAGAGGAAGAGGGAGAGGAAGAGGAAGAGGGAGAGGAAGAGGGAGAGGAAGAGGGAGAGGAAGAGGGAGAGGAAGAGGAAGAGGGAGAGGAAGAGGAAGAGGGAGAGGAAGAGGGAGAGGGAGAGGAAGAGGGAGAGGAAGAGGGAGAGGAAGAGGGAGAGGGAGAGGGAGAGGGAGAGGGAGAGGGAGAGGAAGAGGGAGAGGAAGAGGGAGAGGAAGAGGGAGAGGAAGAGGGAGAGGAAGAGGGAGAGGAAGAGGGAGAGGAAGAGGGAGAGGAAGAGGGAGAGGAAGAGGGAGAGGAAGAGGGAGAGGAAGAGGGAGAGGAAGAGGGAGAGGAAGAGGAAGAGGGAGAGGAAGAGGGAGGGAGAGGAAGAGGGAGAGGAAGAGGGAGAGGGAAGAGGGAGGGAGAGGAAGAGGGAGGGAGAGGAAGAGGGAGGGAGAGGGAGAGGGAGAGGGAGAGGGAGAGGGAGAGGGAGACACACACACACACACACACACACACACACACACACACACACACACACACACCGAGCCACGAACTCCCATTAACTCACAGCAAGGTCCCTGAGCCACTTGTTGGAGCGTGGGATTGTCCTTGCATCTGGCTCTCAGCAAGTTGCATGCACTCTCGTACGTCTTGCCGTCGCTCCCGCACACACTGGCTTGTTCGTCGTTGCAAATCGGGTTGCACTCTTGAGGGATGTTGCAAGGTATTTTAAATAAATTGACTAGTAATTAAGGATTGGAAAATAATTGATCAGTAACAAGTTCTTGTAATATGAAATAAATAAATAAATAAATTTCAATGACAGTAAATAATTTTGCACAAACAAGAAAAACGGAAGAATATAATATAAAAAATATATGTACATATTTTAACTCGTTTACATACTTCAGTGATAACTAGCAATAAAATTCAAAATAAATCATTCTGTATATCTATTTTATATAGATATACAAAATAAATCATTCTGTATATCTATTTTATACTAAAATGACCTTAAACAAAAAAATAATACAGTAACAATGATAGTAATAGAGACAAAAACAATAACTATGAAAATAACAAAAACAACAATAATCAATGATAATGATAATAAACTGAAAGCATAAGACGACAATAATAAATTACAAAATAACATCTGAAAAAATAACAGACAAAAACAAAAATGGTACCTATCTCCAACAAACAAAAAGGATCTAAAATCGCTACAACACACCGTAGGTTGTATATATAATGAATAACAACATATAGGTATAATAAAGGTAATAAATATAATTGACAAAAACAAATGTAATACCAGACTCAAAAATATGTATATATCAAAACATACCACAGGGCGTGTGTATATATGCATACGAGGAGGCTTCAAAAAGTCCGTGGAAAAAGTCCATAACTAAAGATCATATGAAAGAATTTTTATTTCGCTGCACCTGAGCACTCTTGTACCAGTGTGTTATGTGTTCAAACATGAACCCTTAAATGCAGGTAATAGCGCATCGCCACCAGTTGGAAGTCTGGCACCATTCAAGCAACATGGAATCCACCAAAATCGAGGCTAGGACAAACATTAAATTCATGGTGAAACTCGGTTGGGAGAATAGGCAAATTGTTGACACTCTGGAACAAATTTATGGTGACAATGCCCCAAAGAAATCAACAACCTACAAATAGATAGGTCGGTTCAGATGAGCCCCGTAGTGGTAGGCCATTAACGCTAGTTTGTGAGGAAAACATTGATGCTGTCTGCGAGATGATTGAAAAGGATAGACGAATAACTACCGAATCAGTACCACATACACTCATTTCTATGGCTTCTGCACACACAATTCTGGTGGAGAGTTTGGGGCTATCCAAGCTTTTCGCTCGATGGGTCCCTAGGCAGTTGTGCTTAAATCAGTAGTAAACAAGGGTAAATTTTCCAATGGAAATATTGAATAACTCTGAGGACTCCGAAGCTTTTCTGCGGAGAATTGTGGCAGGGGATGAAACATGGCATTACCAGTATGATCTCAAGGACAAAATCAAAGCAGTGGCTGCCCAGGAGTGGAAGTGGACCAGTCAAACCAAAATCTCAGCGTTCAAGAGAAAAGGTCATGGCCACCGACTTCCTCGAGAGCAAGAGCCCCCCCCCCCTATCCCCCCCACAAACATCTCAAAATTCCAACAATTTCCCAGCCTACCACAGGGTCCATCCGCGATCTTGTGCAAACTGAGGTCCTCGCACTGTGCCCGCTCTAAGAGGCAGTCGTTATCATAGGTCACCTGATTACTACCGCACACGGGGTCGCTGAGGTCAGGGCAGGTCGCCACGCACTTCTTGGTATTGGTATCTGTGGGGGTAGAAAAAGGAAGATTTTTGGTAGATAGGGTTGGGAGGTGTGTGTGTGGGGGGGGAGTGGAACGTGGGAAGGAGGGTTAGTGGGGTGAGGGAGTGGGAGGTGAGGGATAGGGGGAAGGGAGTGGGAGGTGAGGGATAGGGGGAAGGGAGTGGGAGGTGAGGGATAGGGGGAAGGGAGTGGGAGGTGAGGGATAGGGGGAAGGGAGTGGGAGGTGGGAAGGGAGTAAGGGGTGGGTGGGGGGGGGGAAGAGTGAGTTGTTGGTGGTGTGGGGGGGGGGGGGCTATGAGCATGGTTATTACTAATTGTGATTGTGATGGAGGCAATGGCAGTGATAATGATAGTAATTGTGAAAATGACAGTGACAGGGAAAGTAATATGGTGTCACGTACGGTGAGGAATATGACAACCGGTGTACATGATGGGATGATAATGACAGAGATAATATTGATAAAACAGTTATTATATTACACTATATTGTATCATCTTATACATGATGTATCAATATCATCTCGTATTACACTAAATTGCAATACACTGCAACACATCACATCATATATATTGTTTTACACTACATTACATTATACTATGCATCATATCATAGTCATAATAAATGGTCATGATAAAAAGCGGGCAGAATGATTCTCATAAAAATCGTTAGGATGAAGATGACAGTTATTACGCTAATCCAAGATGGATTTTCACAAGAACAATGACTTGTGAAACAAAAATTAAAGAACGACGACTTACATAGATAAAACTTTATAAGAACACTTATAAATAGTTTTAATAAGCAATATTATTTCTTCTTTTCAGTAATTTGCAAGATCAACAGATAACACATGTTATAACATAACAATGATTTTTACAATATATAATATAAGGCGCCCATGTCTACACCATATCTCACTATACTGTCATCATTGATCTCTCTCAAGACTTAATATGAACTATATTTTTTTACCACTATACTATAAGTTATCACTCTACACCAGTCTGTTATTAGGATACTAAATCATATAAAACTATTATCACCATCTTTAACAAAACTATTACCAATACACACTACCATATACACCATATTATCATATACGGCATATAATATTGTGTATATTTAACCTTAAACAGACATGCAGATTGACAGACAGATAACGAGACAGATAACGACACACAGATAAAGTGATACACAGGCAGACAAGCAATAACACAGACAGGCAGACAAACAGTGGCAAACATACAGACAGACAGGAAAGCGAGAGAAGCCGTTTTATATCAAGAAATGATAGATCAGAAGAGGGTTAAGGAGGGAAAGAGTAAGGGAAAAATACAAAGCTTTGAAAAGAGGAGAAGAGAGCAGATGAAAGTGGTGGAGAGAAAAGAGGAGATATGAGAGGAGAGAGGTAAAGACAGGAGAGAGGGAGGGAGGGAGAGAGAGAGAGAGAGAGAGAGAGAGAGAGAGAGAGAGAGAGAGAGAGAGAGAGAGAGAGAAATAAATAAAGAAAGAAATATATAGAGAGAAAGGGGGGATATGGGTTAAAAATATACTAATATCCCTAAAGTGTACATAAAACAATAAATGTTAGTACTGGAAATAACCTGTATAATATAAAGCTCATGATCAGCATAGTAAAGGCAAAATTTAATATTAACTCAAGCAACTGCCGTGGCCTCCACACCTCCGACGCTCCGACAAAGACCAACAACCCTTAATGTATATAATGGCAAATATTTAATAGATCTTTTGAAAGACTGATGAAAAAGGAGCCAACCCGTGGTCTCTTATATTTCCAGAATAAATTTAATAGAGGCGTGGTAGCCCTTTACCTGAGTGGACCCCAATTCTCTTAATCTGCAAAATCTACAAAATTATATAGTACCATGAGTCACAACCACTGATAATGCTACAGGCCTATATATCCACTACAGCAATTCACGCGTTTTTTTTTTAACCTTCACCTTGCATGTACTCGCTAAAACTTACGTAAATAATGGGCAGCTGAAGTTGATAGAATCATCACCAACACACAGAGATACCCCGGCATGACTGCAGACCCACAGCAAGGCCTGGAAATTAAGATCATCATCATCATCATTATCAATGTCAATACTTAGCTGATCTAATCCGTTAATGTTACCGAGAGCCAGACTCGCGAATCCAAAATCCAAACGTGACCTTTCCTACCTTCGATTTATTCCCTAGACGCGACATTAAGAACTCTTGCTGGGTGAGGGTGATATGAGGCCGGAGCAAACGTAACTGTTATTACTCTATTCATTATGTTTTATAAGATGACAGCGTCCATTTCTATCTATCTCTGTGCGTCGCTCTCGGTAACATCAATCTCGGTAACAAATCCCATAAGGGTTATCACATCATGCAATCATAATAAATGTTGAATTAAAAACAAATCATCCTAGCACACAGTTCACAACCCAAAATAACACTTAAAATAAACTCAGGTCACAGAAATTATCCCAGTCGTCGCGAGAAACCACATTCATACACCAAATTTTGAATATATAGTTATTTTAAATGTACTTATCACCCTAATTATCATATAAACTTACCTTCTCTTTCAAACAACCTGCTCACGCCGGCCGAAGGTGGAAAGGCGACGCAACAAAGCGTCTTGTAAAAACAGTGAACTTCGTAAATGGTGAAGAAACTATCGCTGGCTTGTTCAGGACTTGTTATGCCTTATAGGGGTCTAATTTCTCTATTTCGAGGGTTTATATGATGATTACCAATCCTATCAGAGACTAGTATATGTTATGTTAGAGTTTTTGTTAAAGGGCTCGGTCATTTTAGGTAATTAATGATATGCAGTAAACATTATAATTACTTGAATATATGTGAAAGTACCTTTTGCAATTAATGCTACATTTCTTACGGAATTCTTTTTGGAACGAGTCAGACCATTAATGATATGGCGTTACATCATTAATTAGTGCTATATTACCTGAGTCTATTGTTACTAATATTGCTAAAAACGTGCTGATAATGCTATCACTACAGAACACCATCGTACAATCTGTTATTTCTTACATGCTAACTATGCTATGGTGTGCTGAGTGTTTTCCGCGATTTACAGAAAAAAGTATAGACCATAGTAATGTAATTAATCCAATATATAGGTATGTACACATATGCACACATACATAGACCTATATACGCAGTCACGCTCTCTCTCTCTCTCTCTCACACACACACACACACACACACACACACACACACACACACACACACACACACACACACACACACACACACACACACACACACACACACAAACACACAATGCACATTGTTAAAACTAGCACATTTTAGGTAATATTAACTCATATGAAACGCCTAATATCAGGTGGAAACAGTATGCTCAATTGTTTTGCTTGTTTGTTCATGCCCCGTGGTCTCGTTTTATGTTTTGTAATATTGGGAAAAACTTGATGAACTTTACTGGAATGTAACAACTACAGTTTATGTAGTTATTTTACAGACAGAAAACAAACAAGCTTATAGTTATCGTTCTTTATGATTCTGCATAAGCATAAACTATGTAAATATCTGCTATGTTAAATATGGATAATTATGGAAATTGAAGATACTGATAATGATAAGATAATGCTAATGACGGTGATAGTAATGGTAATAACAATAGCAATAGTAACTAGCGGGACCCGTGGAAATTCCACGGAAGAATGTACTCCTCTCTTCCTCTCTCAACCTCCTCCTCTCACCTTCCCACTCCCTTTTCCTTTCCCTTTCCTTTCCCTTACCCTTTCTGCCATCTACTCTCACTCCCAAATCTTCCTTAAATTCACTCTGCCCCCTCCAACTTGCCTCCTTTTCCTCCTTAAACTCCCACACCTCCTTCGCTCCCTTATCTCCCTTCCTCCCTCTCTCATCTCCCTATTTTCTCTGAAAACTGTGTCCCTTTCCCTTTTCATTCCTTTTATCCACCCCCATTTTCTTCCTTAAATCCCTCTGTTTAGCCTTCCTCATCTTCCTCCGCTCCCCTCTCCTTTCCCCCCTTTTCCCCTCCACCTTTCTTTCCCCTTCCCCTCCTATCCCATTCTTAACCTCTTCCACCCCCCCCAATCAGATAGTCTTGTAAATAATAAATGTGTGTAAACTGACATCCAAAACTACTTCAATGCAGTGGTTTCTTCAAAAGATAATTATAATGAAATATAATTGACTTAAAGTCCGCAGTCACATGAAATATAATATATCCAAGAGTTAGGTCTACAAATAACATTTTACTCTTCTCCACCCCCCTCTTATCTCTTCACCTCTTTACTTCTTAAATTGTCTACAAATACCCTCCGAGCAAGTATAACATTAACGTGTCGGCCTCTCATTCGAGGGGTTGGCGGTTCGCGGCCCGCCTAGGCGCGAGAAGTTGCAATTGTCGCCTAGAGGTTACTGCTGGTGCTGGGCACCACGGTGGATAAGGACTAAGCTCACCCGAGTTATAACCCGGGCGAGGCTAAGGACTTGTCCTTAGTTCTAAAATCACATCCTAATGTCGATTCAAAGACCAATTTGAGAATGCTGGTGTCAGAAGGATATCCGGCCATCATAAATATTTGCTACTATCTGATCATAGTGACCCCATAACAGAATGGGACAAAGTTTATATATACATGCCTTTATATTCATATATAGGGATGTAACAAGAAAATATCAATATATATGTGTACATGCGTTTGTGTATATTAATATTTATTTATGTGCATACATTTATATGGGTTTATGTGTATACGTATATGTATTTGCTTACATATGATATATTAAGCAAATAGTAAATTATATAGACACATCAAATATGGCTTGAGGCACGAATATTAAAACTTTAATTATAAGGCCAGACATTATACAAAACCGTGGGACACAGCCCCTAGAAAAGTAAGGAGGTGGTTTTGGCCCGTGCCAGGGTTAATGCCATCGGAATCACCCGCCTCACTTCATAAAGAGACTTACACAATATGCCCACATTAAACAACCACTATAAAATTGGTTAATGTTATCGAGGGCAACGCAATGAGATAGAGGGAAATGGACACTGCCATCTTATAGAGCATAAAAATAGAGTAGGAAGCAATACAGATATATCTGCAGTAAGTCCGATATGCGAAGCTGAGCCTCGCCCGGGCTATGAGGGGAGCCCGGCCTGTGCCGACTAATGTCGACTCGCTAACAGTGTGTCAGCAGGTGCTGACTCGGGTGAGCTTAGTCCTTACCCACCGTGGTGCCCAGCCACAGCAGTAACCTCTAGGCGACAATTGTAACTTCTCGCGCCTGGGCGGGGCGCGAACCGCCGACCCCTCGGATGAGAGGCCGACACGTTAATATCTGCAGTGATGCCCTCTGCGTGTCACCGCTCAGAGACCCTCACAGCACAGTTCCTAATGTCGCGTTTTCTGTAAGTTCGCACGAAGTGTTAATAAAGGGGGGTGCAGGGGGGCCTGATGCTGTCTAGGGAGTTAATAGAAGGTAGGAAAGGTTAGGTTTGGATTTTGGGTTCGCATGTTATCCTGGATGTGGGACTTCGTATCAGAAGGGTGTGTCGCTCTCGGTAACAGACACCGCTAATAATGAATTTTCTAAGGGAAGTAAAACTATTTTTTTTCGTAGAATTTCCGCAGGACCTGCTAGTTATTTTTTATCATCATCGTCGTTGTTATTGGCAGAATTAATAGCATCAATACAATAACAATCATAACAAGATTGACAACAATAACGATGCTGTGATGACGATATGAATCATAAATCATAAACCAGACATTTGCAGCTGCATTATTTCACATTTGTTACTAAATTAAGTTATCATTTAGTAAATAGATCCAACATATGCTATATTTGAAATAGTTAGCCCAAGAACGTTTTCTCCTTCAAGTAGTCAGTTTACAGAAAACGGTATTTTAGGATAAACTTCTATAGTGATCCAAATCTAGCAAATCGTTATTTTATAGGACATTGCTAGATTCATGACAACCACCAAAAAAAGATTTTTCATACAAACATACTTTCCACTTCCAGTCGTTAAGTGTTCGTTCACCGAACTGCACCAACCCTTCCCTTGCCCATAATAATGATAATAAGGATTTAAAAAGTGTGACAGTTTTAATGTAGAGACAGAAAACCAATGACTTGCTGCCTAAAGGTGTGGTTACACTGGCCATCGATTCATGAAATCTAATCATTTTGAGTGGAATTTGCCCACCGATTGGTTCGTTCCACTGTTTTTTTGCCTGCTCGTCCGAAGCGATGGGCAACCCGTCGATCCATCGATGTTCCATGACATTAGTCTAATTATATATTTATGCATTATAATTAATATATATATAAATAAATTACAATTATTAATTATAATAGTAAATTATCATATATATACTTATATTATTTATTATCTAAAAAATAAAAGAAAAACAATGCAATATATCTTGTATCCTCATTTGACGGACGAACATAAACAAGCGCGCATATTTTTCGAAGAGGAAGAACGTCATCTCGTCATATTTCTGTAAGAATGTGGAATTCGGAAGCAATTACCTCTCTTTTAGAGAAAGTACGCCAAGAAAATGTCCTTTGGAATATAAAACATCCATATTACCACAAGAAAACGCTGAAACGAACTCTGTTTGACAAGATATGTGTAGAGCTGAAAACAGAGTATCCTCAACTTGAAATTACAACAGGTAAGAAAAACATTATTTGGTGTATCAATTTATTTTAACTTTAGTATAATGAAATTTAAATTATATGCACGGAATTATGCTATTATTCATGCAAAGTATTTGTTAATTGCTCTTGGAGTTTGTAGAAAATGCTAGGTAAAATATGATCAGAGATTAACAATTTGTATTTGTTTTTAGATTAGTTTTTTTTTTTTTTAGTAATTAATGAAAAAGATCTTGTCCTTTACTCTTATAAGTTGCTTATTATAATTTTACAAATTACAAATTACAAGTGCAAACTGCTTTCCAGAGAATAAGCTCACTGGTATTCTGACTAATTTTATAATATTCAAATAGCCATGACTACATTGAAAAATGTGCAATGCCTGTAATCTAACAATACACTCACAAGATTGTTTGGTAATATTTTAAGGACTTTGAATATGATAGATTATCAATTAATAAAATCTCAAAATCCAAAATAGATATTTAGTTTAAAATATGGAGCATGATAACCAGAATCATGTATAAACAACAAATAAAAAACTCCAATGTGTCCCTTTGCCTTTGTAAAACAGATGTATAGGAATAATATTAAATTCAAAAAATCATGATTTATATTATTTATGATGTTATGTTATTATTTACGCATGATTATTCCTCTGCAAGTTTTAATCTCCCTATTTTCTCTATTATTTGCAGTTGAAGTAATGGACAAATTCAAGTACCTTAGCGGCCAATATCAGAAATGTTTATGGAAAATCAGGAATGCTCCAAGTGGTTCCGCGGCAACAACTCCTATTAAGTGGGAGCATTATGAGACATGCTCATTCATGCAATCTGCATATGATTTGGGCCCTACTGAATCCAGTTTCATACACCCTGATGACTTGGTAAGCTTGGCTAAATGTGTTTATAACTATAATTATATTCTAAGAAATACAACACTTATTGAAACATAACATTATGGCTAAGAAATTATGTGTAAATATTACAAAATTTTATTCAAGGTTCATTAACTAAAATCATTCTGAGTTTTAAATACAAAAATTAAAAGTGTTTTGCTTAACTTTCAGGAACCACAACAGGAGCAAGAGGTGTTGTATGAGGGACCTACAGAGGATCTTGAGGATTATGATATATCGGTATCACCAACTTCAATACCGTCAAATCCAACACATTCCCCTCTGCCTGATATTAATGAAGAGATCATCAGAGAAATACCTGATCAGCCCAATACCAGTTATACAAAAAAATCACAACTGGTAAAAAAGAAGAGGAAAATGAACAAGAGTGATGTAGTGAAAGAAGGAATGTTGAAGACCATTGACAACTTGCAGGCAGTTTGTGCAGAGCAGGCCATGAAAAATACACGCCATGACATGGTTACTGAGTCTGTGATGGCTGCCATGAAGTTCTTCAGCAGTTATGAAGAGGTGAAAATGGACTTTACAGTAAAAGTGATGGAGCTTATTGCAGCAAAAACCAGAGAGTGTCAAGCCATAGAAAAGAAAAGGCAAGGCAATAATTAAGATCAATGAAGTATCATGAAGTGCAATGTTTTCAATCTGTGATTTATGCCAATGATTTAATTTGTATATAGTCATATTAAGTCCTCCTTTATTTTATGCTGGTCATGTTCTAGTTTTCTAGTTTTATTTTTGTAATATATATTTATTTTAATTTAGTATTAGTTAAGATTTAGTTTAAGATCTATAGTATTTCTAGATATATATTTTGAAAATGGAGAAATAAATTTAAAATGTAAGATGTTCTTTTCATATCCTTTTAATTGTTTAGATGATTATTATTTTGTTTTATTATACATAACTTGATACATTTTATAAAGAAAATTCAGTAATTAAAAAAAACTAATTAATAATTAAGGTTGGAATTTCATTTCTAATAAGTTTTTTTTTTTCCTTCACATACAGTTTTAAATCAATATTAGAAAATGTGTTTGTATGCTGGTCAACTTTTCATAATTCTGTTTTTGTTTATGTAATATATATTTAGTTTACATGATCATAGTTATCAGAAAGACTTTTATTTATCATTTGAGATTAGGGTGTAATAGAAAAAAACAAACAAACATACAACATATATATTGCAATATATTATAAGAAAAGAAATGTGCAACAAATATGAAAATACTATACTATTTACGTAAAAACTAGCTGAAACATGAAACTTATTCTACTGTACATTAAAAGAAACACAATATGTGCCACCAAATTTAACAAAACATAAAAAATTTGCCTGTTTATTCTATGGAAATCATAAAACACACTGCCATCATCCACTCGCGTTTCTTCAATTAACTTGTGATACACACTTCGGTCTTTTTTCTGTAGCCATGGTTTCATCCATAGTCTCTTTCTACTTTTCTTGGTCTTTTTATATTCTCTGTACTTTTGGAAGCAAGCAAGTGTCGTAAGAGTAAGGGAGACAAGCGCGGGATACATCGCAACTACTGATGAGGGACTGCGGACACGATTTGTTTTGATGCTGCGATCCAGTGGACTGAGCTGGTGTTTTTTTTCGTAGTATAACCAAAACGGATGGGCGGGTGGGTTCCAAGTCGCTGATAATCGTTGGATTCCAACGAAATAGTTGGTCAGTCTAACCGTACCTTAAGTGGTAAGTGGTATAACCTGAAAAAAATAAACGGGCCTTATCTTAATCTGCCGTAATTTCTTAATATAAGAGATTTTGGCCACTGGAATTGTCGCAGGTAATACTACTGACCAATATTTTTTTTTTTTTTTTTTTTTTTTTTTTGTGAGTATGAAATTTTACGTCAATTTGTCTCTCCTAACAGGCCATGATGTTTTATTTACAGATCCACCAAGATTCACCGAAAGGAAAGAAGGTACATTGCCTCGCGAATATTGGAATTTCGTTGTTTCGAGGTAAAATTGAAAAAAAAGGTATATATCGCCATAATGATGCGAGGTGTCAAATATAGATAACGTGCCGAATATCGTAGGTCACATTTTGATCGATTATCTGGTCTTTTACTTTTTGGTGTGGATTTGTTTTGTCTTCTCTTGTTCTTATTTTTGTTTGCTCTTTTGTTCACCCGAATCATCGAAATGATTTAAATGACCTCATGAGTGAACCTGAGATCGCTGATATGATCCCGATAGAATAAATACCTGGCTAGTTTCATAGTATTACAAGACATAGTATTATAATTATCGGCTCTATGAAAGGGACTATATGAGGCTACTGCTTGTCAATATGCTCAGTGATTCCGAACATTTACATTTAGCTCAGCAACCCTTTCTGCCAGTTTATGGGTTTCCAGAATAACGCCTCTTTTGACACGAAAAGAGACGTTTCCCAGAATGCTGCGCTCTAAGGAGATTGTAAGATGGACAGAAATGTATATATTTTGTGCAGAAGGCGTTTTCGGTGTATTCGTGTGTGTGTTTAGTTTGTGTGTGTTAGTGTCTTATATTATCAGGTCCACATGGTTCATCGACATAAAACAAGGAAATCGGTATTAGTAAGTACATTACTGAACAGTTACAATAGAAGGGATCTCTGTCCATGTTATAAAAATGTAAACATTGACGAGAGAGAGAAAGAGAGAGAATATTCATATAGAAGCAATTTTAATTTCTGTGAAGCGAAAAAGAAAAATTGCTGCAACTTTTGAACTAAATTACGCTTATTAACGAAATGTGAGGAGTGCCGTATAAACATCATTTTTTATAAAGCTCTTGTGCACCTGGAAAAGAAAAAAAATCTCCCTTGATAAGAATAATGAGAGATTCGCAGAATTTCGTCTGCTGCTAAAGAAGAATAATCACATAGATATAATTAGGACACAAAATCAATAAAACATAAAGGTTTATTGCTAGACTATCTTTTTAGCTGAATTGTACTGAGGACAGATGGTTCCCAAACTATTTTTTTACGCACCATTTGAACTATAGGATATCTTTACGTTCCCCTTTCCCAGTCCTTCTTATGTATGCAAATTATGTAGTACTATTTGGATAGGCCGACAATTATTTCTTAAAGTTATTAGGGATCGGAAACATCCTTGCCTGGTGAACACGATTAACAAGAAACACAAGTAATACCAGTATATCAGTTTTTTATTGTTAATCCTGACTTCAACAAATATGCTTCTCTAAGTTGTCGATAAACATCTATCAATATTATATAAAACAAACTAATGACTATATTACTGAGAGGGAAAAAAAGGTCTCGTTACTATAATTCAAACCGATAGTCCATGTACACGCGCGTTAGTATTTTCTTTCATCATTTCAAACTAAGTTGACCGATTCTTCGCCCCCCCCCACTCCACCGTCTAGAACCAAGTATTTAGAGTTATCAGTATCCTTGAATTTCTGTTCCTTTCTCACACCTCCCGATTCTCTCTCAGTGTGTAGTATTTATGGGGTGCGAATGTATCTGTGCGTTTAATAAAGCAAGATAAAATGCCGGAAACTAACATCAAAGGCTGCTTGATGTATCCCGTAAATGTCTCTATGCATGTTATTTCTTGTCTATTCTTTATCTATCTCATGTATTGCATATCTTCGACTGGGTTAGAATAGCGCATTTGATTTTTTTACCGGTATTTGCATTTTAGATCACCACCTTTGCAATGTAAAGTTACTGAATGCAAACACTTGAAGAATTCACTCAGATTTGTTATTCTCTTTTCGTTTGTCATCAATCACCGATGTTCATGCTAACAGAAAAAAAATTACTTACTTCGGCTGTACATCATTGAAATATCATATCCACTACTATACAGTTTACAAGTAAAACAAAGGTAGCTTGGGTGAACATAATTAAGATGATGATAATAAACGATGATAATATTAAAAAAATTACCTCCCTCGCAGCTGTATTGACTCGCATAGTTTGGTACCTTCAGAAGCCTTCATATTTTGTATTTTGAAAATAATCGGTACATAATGTCAAGAAGCCATTGGGTTTGAATTAATGTGCTGTCAGCTTATTCTGTCACTATATTAACATCACTTTAACTACCTAAAAGTGCAGCTAGAATTTGTGACCGTATACCATTCTCAGTATATCCTCGAACGTTAAGAATATAGAACAGAAAATCATGTGATCACAAGCAGAATAAACCTGATTCAAACCGATAGTCCATCATGAGCTTGCATGTGCGTGTGCGCGCGCGTTAGTATTTTCTTCCATCATTTCAAACTAAGTTGACCGATTCTTCGCCCCCCCCCCCCCACTCCACCGTCGAGGAACCACGGATTTAGAGTTATCAGTATCCTTGAATTTGTTCCTTTCTCACACCTCCCGCTTCACATTAATTCTATGTCATCTACCTCTTGACATTACCTATAGTGTATACTGTATGAAAGGCTTTTTTTCCTGACAACAGTAAGCCGTGTGCGTCAATACTGCTGCATAATAGGCAAGTTTTTTTCTGACCACTAAGTTATGAGATAAATATCGTGATAAACTACCAATGATTTGGCTTTCCGGTGTTAATAGGCTGTGTGATTTGCTATAGCTTCGTGATTTTTGCTTCCTCCCAAGACTGTTGTTTATGTTTGTTTATTTTATGCAAGTAGTATATTGCCTGTTTCAAATTTTGGACAATATAAAATATAAACTACCTGTAGGTCAAATTGCACTCCCAGTTTGTGGGATGTTAAGCGCATCTTGGTCTGGACGAACAGGGCTGTGTAACTGTTCAGCAACGGTCGAAAAAATGGACGAAATGGTTATAAATTGGCGTCTTATGTCTCTCGACTCTCACAACAGTCGCTGGATAATTCCAACTGATTCATTTCCAGGTTTTCTGTTCGCTTGTGTAGAATATCTGTGTTCCATTGTGCATTATGCTTCGTACAAACAAATACCGTTTCAAAATCTTATACAAGGTAATCAAGAGTTCTATCATGAACGTTGATGTTAAATTGTCAGCGGTAATAAAACAAGCATTTATATCGACCTTTATTTTACGTAAAATTATAATTACATCATAATTATTATATTTTTATTGTATTCACCATAGCCATCAGCTTCATCCTGTGAATGAAAAAGAAATCATTACCGATTGAATATAAAAAAGTAACTAAAACCTCAATTACACAAATATATATGTGTGTGTGTGTGTGTGTGTGTGTGTGTGTGTGTGTGTGTGTGTGTGTGTGTGTGTGTGTGTGTGTGTGTGTGTGCACAGGATCCGATTACATGACAAAAATGCACAGCAAATAGAATTCACCGAATTTTCCATTAATTACTTGATCATATAAAAAAAAAATAATAACAAAAAAATATGAAGATTTGATTAAAAAAAAGACTATCCCTTAATCACAAACCTTAAAACCCTTAGATTCTTCACACAAACCGAACACACTTACAGCAAGCGGTGTCCGAAACCTTGGACAGGAGCGGGTCTTCACACTCCGCCATCTCCAACACACAGTCATTCGGATAAGTCACTCCGTCACTGCCACACACGGGGTTAAACGTGGTGGGGCACTGCTGATAGCAATCTGTTGAAAGGGGGAGAAAGGGAAAGGAAGAGGAGGGAAGGTGAGGGGTGGGGGAGAGGAGGGAAGGTGAGGGGTGGGGGAGAGGGAGAGGAGGGAAGATGAGGGGTGGGGGAGAGGGAAGGTGAGGGGTGGGGGAGAGGGAGAGGGAGAGGAGGGAAGATGAGGGGTGAGGGAGAGGGAGAGGAGGGAAGATGAGGGGTGAGGGAGAGGGAGAGGACGGAAGGTGAGGGGTGGGGGAGAGGGAAGGTGAGGGGTGGGGGAGAGGGAAGGTGAGGGGTGGGGGAGAGGGAAGGTGAGGGGTGGGGGAGAGGGAAGGTGAGGGGTGGGGGAGAGGGAAGGTGAGGGGTGGGGGAGAGGGAAGGTGAGGGGTGGGGGAGAGGGAAGGTGAGGGGTGGGGGAGAGGGAAGGTGAGGGGTGGGGGAGAGGGAGAGGAGGGAAGATGAGGGGTGGGGGAGAAAGGGAAAGGGAGAGGAGGGAAGATGAGGGGTGGGGGAGAAAGGGAAAGGGAGAGGAGGGAAGATGAGGGGTAGGGGAGAAAGGGAAAGGGAGAGGAGGGAAGATGAGGGGTGGGGGAGAAAGGGAAAGGGAGAGGAGGGAAGATGAGGGGTGGGGGAGAAAGGGAAAGGGAGAGGAGGGAAGATGAGGGGTTGGGGAGAAAGGGAAAGGGAGAGGAGGGAAGATGAGGGGTGGGGGAGAAAGGGAAAGGGAGAGGAGGGAAGATGAGGGGTGGGGGAGAAAGGGAAAGGGAGAGGAGGGAAGGTGAGGGGTGGGGGAGAGGAGGGAAGATGAGGGGTGGGGGAGAAAGGGAAAGGGAGAGGAGGGAAGATGAGGGGTGGGGGAGAAAGGGAAAGGGAGAGGAGGGAAGATGAGGGGTGGGGGAGAGGGAGAGGAGGGAAGGTGAGGGGTGGGGGAGAAAGGGAAAGGGAGAGGAGGGAAGGTGAGGGGTGGGGGAGAAAGGGAAAGGGAGAGGAGGGAAGGTGAGGGGTGGGGGAGAAAGGGAAAGGGAGAGGAGGGAAGATGAGGGGTGGGGGAGAGGGAGAGGAGGGAAGGTGAGGGGTGGGGGAGAAAGGGAAAGGGAGAGGAGGGAAGATGAGGGGTGGGGGAGAGGAGGGAAGATGAGGGGTGGGGGAGAAAGGGAAAGGGAGAGGAGGGAAGATGAGGGGTAGGGGAGAAAGGGAAAGGGAGAGGAGGGAAGATGAGGGGTGGGGGAGAAAGGGAAAGGGAGAGGAGGGAAGATGAGGGGTAGGGGAGAAAGGGAAAGGGAGAGGAGGGAAGATGAGGGGTGGGGGAGAAAGGGAAAGGGAGAGGAGGGAAGATGAGGGGTGGGGGAGAAAGGGAAAGGGAGAGGAGGGAAGATGAGGGGTGGGGGAGAAAGGGAAAGGGAGAGGAGGGAAGGTGAGGGGTGGGGGAGAGGAGGGAAGATGAGGGGTGGGGGAGAAAGGGAAAGGGAGAGGAGGGAAGATGAGGGGTGGGGGAGAAAGGGAAAGGGAGAGGAGGGAAGATGAGGGGTGGGGGAGAGGGAGAGGAGGGAAGGTGAGGGGTGGGGGAGAAAGGGAAAGGGAGAGGAGGGAAGATGAGGGGTGGGGGAGAGGGAGAGGAGGGAAGGTGAGGGGTGGGGGAGAGGGAGAGGAGGGAAGGTGAGGGGTGGGGGAGAAAGGGAGAGGGAGAGGAGGGAAGGTGAGGGGTGGGGGAGAGGGAGAGGAGGGAAGGTGAGGGTGGGGGAGAGGAGGGAAGATGAGGGGTGGGGGAGAGGAGGGAAGATGAGGGGGTGGGGGAGAAAGGAAAGGGAGAGGAGGGAAGATGAGGGGTGGGGGAGAAAGGGAGAGGGAGAGGAGGGAAGGTGAGGGGTGGGGGAGAGGGAGAGGAGGGAAGGTGAGGGGTGGGGGAGAGGAGGAAGATGAGGGGTGGGGAGAGGAGGGAAGATGAGGGGTGGGGGAGAAAGGGAAAGGGAGAGGAGGGAAGGTGAGGGGTGGGGGAGAAAGGGAAAGGGAGAGGAGGGAAGGTGAGGGGTGGGGGAGAAAGGGAAAGGGAGAGGAGGGAAGGTGAGGGGTGGGGAGAAAGGGAAAGGGAGAGGAGGGAAGGTGAGGGGTGGGGGAGAGGGAGAGGAGGGAAGGTGAGGGTGGGGAGAGGAGGGAAGGATGAGGGGTGGGGGAGAGGAGGGAAGATGAGGGGTGGGGGAGAAGGGAAGGGAGGAGGAAGATGAGGGGTGGGGGAGAAAGGGAAAGGGAGAGGAGGGAAGGTGAGGGGTGGGGAGAAAGGGAAAGGGAGAGGAGGGAAGATGAGGGGTGGGGGAGAAGGGAAAGGGAGAGGAGGGAAGATGAGGGGTGGGGGAGAAAGGAAAGGGAGAGGAGGGAAGATGAGGGGTGGGGGAGAAAGGGAAAGGGAGAGGAGGGAAGATGAGGGGTGGGGGAGAAAGGGAAAGGGAGAGGAGGGAAGATGAGGGGTGGGGGAGAGGGAGAGGAGGGAAGGTGAGGGGTGGGGGAGAAAGGGAAAGGGAGAGGAGGGAAGGATGAGGGGTGGGGGAGAAAGGGAAAGGGAGAGGAGGGAAGATGAGGGGTGGGGGAGAAGGGAAGGGAGAGGAGGGAAGATGAGGGGGTGGGGGAGAAAGGGAAAGGGAGAGGAGGGAAGATGAGGGGTGGGGAGAGAAGGGAGAGGAGGAAGATGAGGGGTGGGGAGAAAGGGAAAGGGAGAGGAGGGAAGATGAGGGGTGGGGAGAAAGGGAAAGGGAGAGGAGGGAAGATGAGGGGTGGGGGAGAAAGGGAAAGGGAGAGGAGGGAAGATGAGGGGTGGGGGAGAAAGGGAAAGGGAGAGGAGGGAAGATGAGGGGTGGGGGAGAGGGAGAGGAGGGAAGGTGAGGGGTGGGGGAGAAAGGGAAAGGGAGAGGAGGGAAGATGAGGGGTGGGGGAGAAAGGGAAAGGGAGAGGAGGGAAGATGAGGGGTGGGGGAGAAGGGAGAGGAGGGAAGAGTGAGGGGTGGGGGAGAAAGGGAAAGGGAGAGGAGGGAAGATGAGGGGTGGGGGAGAGGGAGAGGGAAGATGAGGGGGTGGGGGAGAAAGGGAAAGGGAGAGGAGGGAAGATGAGGGGTGGGGGAGAAAGGGAAAGGGAGAGGAGGGAAGATGAGGGGTGGGGGAGAGGGAGAGGAGGAAGGTGAGGGGTGGGGGAGAAAGGGAAAGGGAGAGGAGGGAAGATGAGGGGTGGGGGAGAGGAGGGAAGATGAGGGGTGGGGGAGAAAGGGAAAGGGAGAGGAGGGAAGATGAGGGGTGGGGGAGAAAGGGAAAGGGAGAGGAGGGAAGATGAGGGGTGGGGGAGAAGGGAAGGGAGAGGAGGGAAGTGAGGGGTGGGGGAGAAAGGGAAAGGGAGAGGAGGGAAGATGAGGGGTGGGGGAGAAAGGGAAAGGGAGAGGAGGGAAGATGAGGGGTGGGGGAGAGGGAGAGGAGGGAAGGTGAGGGGTGGGGGAGAAAGGGAAAGGGAGAGGAGGGAAGGATGAGGGGTGGGGAGAGGAAAGGGAAGGAAGGGAGAGGAGGGAAGATGAGGGGTGGGGGAGAAGGGAGAGGAGGGAAGATGAGGGGTGGGGGAGAAAGGGAAAGGGAGAGGAG